CAGGAGGCTGAGTTTGTCTGACCTCTAACCATTGACCAATCTGGTATGAGTGACTCTGAAGGTGCAAAAGCACCACCCAGCATAGCTCAATGGATCGCTGAGGCACACAAACCATCGCACCACGGTAAGGTCCAGCCTCATTGCGATGGTTGGACCACTGCGATGCACGGAAGATGTATGCGGTTGAGGAATACATGCTATTCTTGAACAGACTACAAAGGTTTATAACCCCGGCGTTGCACGAAGATGTTCCCAGACACCTTCACAGACACATCTTTGAGCACCCTGGGTTTTGCGTCGATGGTGCCGACGTTATCCGGCTACACTATGGAAACCAAAACACCATACAAACGAAAGGCGTTGTAAACATTATATGCACACAACTCCACATTCCCACCCGTGTTTGTGTTGCTGAAGGTAGGAGGAAGCTGTTCTTCTTCTGACGTACAGCGCATAAGTTCAGCAACCGGAAGCGGGCAGCTAAACCAGTGAGTGCACATTCCATGGCATCACACTGGGACGGTAGATTAAAATGGTTATCTAAAAAGCATGAATTAAAGGAATAAGGAAATCCAAAAAGGCAATGGGAAGTTGAGGGCCACACGTAATATAGGTAGCAAATAAGATCTAGAAAGTTAGGATAGAAAGCCTCAGGCAAACCCCGAGTAAACATGCTGGTCCAGCGTATAGCAATAACTGATGCAACTCAGTTGCCTTCCAAGAGCGATATTCATCCAGTAATCGAACCATACATGAAAAGTCGGAGGTCCAAGTATGTCCGAAGTCATAAACGTTTTCGTTCGCTAAAATCACCAGCACACTGTATAGTCGAAATCCACTGTCCAAGGACGAAGCAAGCCCGTTTTTATCAAACTGCACAGTACACCCGAACGTACAGGATGCATATAGTCAGTTGGAAAGTATTCAACCAAATCAACATTAATGCAGCTTAGGGCGACGGTTGGCTGGCATTCCTGCTTACGGATGCATAATTGCGCAGTGTGTCATCCGTAATTGGGTATGTCACCTTGCGGCTCATACACACAACGTTGGGTGCAATTGTCACAGCTGTACTAGCCGAGTGTTCTTTTTTGGGTCGCACGTAACCGCGCAGTTGTATCAAGCATAATAACTGTTAGGTGGAACAATCCTTTGCTTTGCAAAAGCGGATCTCATAAATTGTGACGTGCAAATAATCGTCCACGTTATTCGGTTTAGACGTTCCACCACAAACGCCCAAATTAATGGCTTTGTGACTACTGGCTTTATCACAAGACACAAGGTCGGCCATATAAGCACCTTGAACGCATTACAAGGCTTAACTCCGTCAATATGCAACTGATAGTACAAAGCGTCAGCAGGCGCGAGCGAAAGAGCACAGCATGCACACTCTAGGCCCCTCAGCAGGTCTACGTGAGATTAAGTGCCAGGTGCAACATTTCGTATGCCGGAGTTCCGTGGAGTTCTCATTAGCGTTCGGTAATCCTTTAGAAAGAACGGCATCCGCAGTTGTACGGGACCCAACAGTAGACGAACAAAACGCGCAGGTACCAGAGATTGTGCAATAAATTTTCTCAAACTATTGGCCACTTCATCGGGGTCCCTGTCAGCTTCGCATCCGTTGGTAACGTTGCCAGATGACCGCATTGTGTTAGCAAGCCTAAGTAATATATGTTACAAATCCTCTTACCCTTTTTTCGCTTAGCGGCTGGCAACAAAGCACTTCCTCTTTAAGATGAATCCTGTGGTCATGCTTGTTGCAGCAGGGTAAATGGTGCTACGCGACGAAAAGTTTGCAGTTAATTGATAACATTTGTGACCTAGCATGCTGTAAAAGAATTGATATGTAGCAAACAACTGGAAAACCTGCTAATGTGCCTGAAGAAAGGCAGTAGCAAGCTAGCTAAACAATAGCGCAAAACCAAGTGGCAGCTGTGACCGACGTTCCAAAACTGAAACCGTGCAAATGCAATGACCTACCGATGCAGTTAAACCACGCGTGTTATGGTCAAAGATTAGCACTTAAAATGCGTATCAATCATTCATTTATTGACGCATGTCAAAGTAAATGTAATTAGATACAACTAATGCATTATTACCGAACTGGACTGCCATCTAAATGCGGTCGAGTTTTATACGTTTACTGCTAGGGAGCTGGACCCTAACCAAGGGCGGAAATTTTATCACGGGACAAGATGAAGTAGGACAGCAGGCCTCTAGAGGGCACTCGCGAGAATTAGGAATTAATTAGTACGGTTTTACTAATAAAAGGCATGCACTGCATACGTTTATAAAGTGGTACAATAAGGTAACGTTTGTAGTAAAGTAGTTTACCGTAACCCTTGTAACATATCCATGGAAATTTCAAGGGGAGTAATTGCAGCCAAACACTGATATTTCAAGGATTTGTCAAGCACTGAAGTATGCAAGACGGAATGCAAGACGGCACGAAAACACATATCTAACTATGCTTCCCTCTGTGACTACTCAACATGTGCCGTCATTCTCTAGCAATTCCGCCACCTGACATACCTCCCCGCCTCCTGCCTCCGGTGACCCCTTGTCACTGTCCCTATTTCGCCCACGGTCAACACCCGCCCATGCTTCCGGTTCAAGTACCGACGAACCTCAGGTGTGTTTGTAAACAAGGATGCCAGGCTCTCAAACTCCTGCTCTTTAGCTTCCGGCACCTGCCAAATACGGAAATACAGCCACGGAGTACCCAAAAGAAAACCATGATTATGCCGTAGCTACATTTCACCACGCTCGTACTTATCACCCATCAACAAGAGGGAAAAGCTAGATTTGCAGTCCAGCATCCAATAACTATTTGCTCACTTTAGAGCTGTTTACCCACGTCGCGCAAGGCAAAGTGTCCTTTGATTGTAAATGTGAGACTATTACACCAGTCTACAAAGGCGGTATTCGCAAAGACCCGGCCAATTACCGACCGATAACCGTCCTCTCTGCGATCTCTAAAGTGAGGAAATCCCTCGTCGCAGGCGCATTAATGGACCACATGTAGGCCCGGAGGCTGCTCTCTGATTGGCAGCACGGCTTTCGGTGCAACGGCCTTGCCTAAGTAACCTGCTACTTGCCAGGGATAGCTGAACGACTGCTGCGGACTCTGGCCTAGAAAGGCGTTTTGTTCTTGGATTTCGCCATGGCCTTCGACAAGGTCGACCACAACATACTGCTACAGAACCTGTTGTCTTACGGCGTTTCAGGGGCCTTGATGGACTGGATCCGGAGCTACCTTCAACACCGTACCGTCGCAGTACGCGACGACGGAGAGTTGTCCGCCCGCATCCTTGTCACAAGCGGAGTTCCACATGTGTCTGTTCTCGGACCGGACATGTCCCTAGCCTTCATTGATGACGCCACACCGCAATTGGAGTCTACGCTGCTGCCATATGCGGATGACGCGAAGCTGTGGCGCACAATTAACCTTCTGAACGACGCCCACGCACTTCAAACGGACTTCGACCATCCACTTAATGCTACGAAATGTCTTGTCCTTTCTACCCGCCCTACCGCTTTTTCCTAGATATTACCTAGAAGCGTCTATCCTCCAGAGCCCTTCAGCCGAAGGAGATTGGGTATATTTACCCAGGCCAGTCTTTCCGTATCCGCTTCTCGCCGGAAAGCAGCAGCTGCTGCTAACTGCATGGTGGGCTTGCTGAAACGCGCCTTCGGTGAAATTGACCCTAGCAATTTCCGCCTCCTCCTCAAGGCTCTTTTTCGACCCCATGTAGGGTTCGATATTCAGGCTTGGAGACCCTGGTTGTTGAAGGACCGACGTATACTTGATGCCCCACAACGCCGAGCTACAAAACTGCTCCGAGGTCTCAAGCACCTAGAGTATCCACAACGACTTCACTGTCTGCGCCTCTACTCGCTTAAGTACCTACGTCTGCGGGGCGACCTGATCCTTGTATTTTGCTCGTATCCAACTCTGGACATCCCTGTCGCCACCTACTCACACTGCATCAATCGTGTTCCCACCTACGTGGCCACCCACTGAGGCTCACACAGCAGCACAGTCGGCTGTACCGCAGACGACACTAATTCGCTTTGCGAATCTAGCACGATGAAATGAGATGCCTGCCGATTTAGTCATTGCACCCACTGTAGCGGATTTTAAGACTTGCCTGGACTGTCATCTGGCCGAACTACACCGCAATACTCCCCGATATAACTACCTTCTGCTTGAAGGAGTTGCTTTTCTTTTTCGAACTACTTCCTTTCCATAGCCGGTGCGGAGGGCGTGGTGGAATGTCACACGGTGAGCCGGCATGCATGCTGTTTAACCGCAGCATAAGGCCGACAAAGGTACTTCTAACACGCGCGTCCAAGGCGCTATAAGGTTGCTTGGCTTTTGTCAGACTCGACTTGAACTCTTTTGACCCTATGGGCCATGTAAAGCTCGAGCTTTTATTCCCATTAAGTACAATGTTCCAATGCCGCGCCACAGTTTGCAACTACACTTCGTTATCCACCTGAATAACAGCAGTAGTGTTAAAATTCACGTTTTGTATTACCACGTACACTAACTTCTGATGAACCTCTTCAATATACACCTCCCAACCTTTATAAACGACATAGCTAACTATTGGCGTAGCTTACCAAACGTACTCTTCGTAATGACATCGATTGCTGGCTATATATGTGGTGAGCACACTTGTGGCTTTGAGATCAGAGGGAACTCAGTGCGACAGCTGTTTGTTATGGTACCATACCAGTTGCTCTAGGTTAGACAAGGACTCTGTTGATCTTTATGCCCGACCCACTCAGCACCAGTGTCCGATGAACGCCCGTTGGATGTCCGATGGGCGCCCGTTGGGTGACCGATCGAGCGCCCGATGGGCGCCCGAGTGGCAAAAAATTGTGTCACTCATCGGGCGTTCGCGGAGAAAAATAACGTGGCGCCTCCCTTCGCACGCTCACATTTCCACGATTTCCAGCCGTAACGGGTAAAGCCTAGCCGCATTATCCTCCCTTCCCATACCACTGCAAGCACGTTAATGCGATCGCACACATTGCATGCCATGAACACAACACAGTTCGCGAAAACATAATGTAATATGGATCTCATAATTTACAAAGCGGAATCTTGCAGTGATAACCGTTCTGTTTCCTTTCGTATCCAGGATTCACGCTCTTTTATTCTTTGTATCCAGCGTCGTAACTTGTCAACGATATCAGGCTCTGTGCATCCTGGTATGTTTTTTCTCATAATGGAATCTGGTGAAGACATTAATGTTGTTTAAAAGGTAACATACCAAGGACCGCTCGCGCGAATGGTGTGTTCGCTATTTTATACTTCTCATGCACACCACGCCAGTTCACATGTCTGACCAAGTTGTTAGTCATGCAAGTAAGCATGACGTTCCGCACACTTTCTGAGATTGTCCGGCCGCTTACGTTGGATAAATAGTGCACCTACGAATAAGTGAAATTCCATGAGACTTACCATGCTGTTCATGAACTCAGCGTTCTCCAGTGCATTATTTAAAAATGACAGTTGCGCTATTGTGTCCATTGGTAATGGAAATGGGCACGCGTTGCTGGAACTTGGCGCCTGAAGTGCATGCAGCGCGTTCAAGGACAACTCTACAGCAGTCATTCGTTCGCGCAGTTTCATCACTTCGCGATTTACGTTCCGCAATGTGGCTGCAAGTAAATGTTTCGGAGACGCTGTGAACCAACCATTCATTTCCAACAGCAGTGCGCTGTCACAGGATGTTCCGCTAACAGGTAAACGCTGAGAAACGTCTTGGTGAATCGGACTAAGAGTGTAAAAACAAATGCATTGTTTACCTGGATGTATGGGGATAGGCTAATAGGTGTCCATTTTCTTTATCAGAACCGTCGCTTAATTCCTCCTCCAAATACAGCTTTGGTGGTGGAGGTGATAAATCCAAGTTCACGACTTCAACAGTACCCCGCGTTGCGGGTGGCGGTGACTCACAGTCAGGAAAGGTTTTTACAGTGCTGGGATAATATACTATCTAGCTACAACATACATTTTTCGCTTCCCCCATCGGAGCATTGGAATCGTTGCGTCGCTAGATGGTAATTCGGCTGATGTTAGCAAGCTCTGTTCCAAATTTTTAGCTTCAAGGTAATCATCTAAAAATGCGTACAAATATATCGTTCTGTAGCCTCACCTGTACAACTGTGTATTCGTACTTTGTACGTCACAGCGGACGCAGGTGGTGGCAGGCGGTGCATCAGGAAATCCTGTAACTGTTTTGATGATAACCGTCCCCACAGAACTTCTTCATTATTAAGCATCCAGGATGACAGAACCACTGCAACCGAAGAATCTTGAAATTCGACCACGCGATACATCTGAAAAAATGTGCTCAGAGCACAGCATTTCCACAAGCTTATTAGAAGAGGTAAATGTGTTCGGTGGGGAAACTTTTATTTGCGATATCAGGTGCAGCAGCATATGCAGTGTATTCCATGGTGTTGAAAACGTAACTGTAACGGCGCAACGCCGTTACTGTTGTACAACGATTTTGCGCACCCAGATTTGAAGTATAAAACGGACTGTTAACTGAAGCAAATAAATAATAAATTAAGACAGCTTACCTACGTCGCATGTTTCTTGATATCCTTGTGCCGCCAGCTGTGAACGATGGGGTAAAATACAATGTACTCATCGCACGGCAATCTCAGACATTTGCAGCCGATTGCACTCAACGGAATCCATGTCGGTGGAGCTAAGGAACCCCAACATTTAAAAATACGTAGGTCCGTGGACGGCAAACATTTTACGAACAGCGACGTAGTCTGTGTGAAATGCTGCACACATAACTCATTAGCACGCTGGCCCAGCACTACCGAAGGTCTTCCACGTGCGATGACAGCATTATCTGGATGTGCATTCGTAATCAGCGCACCGAAATGTAAGAAACCGGTTTGTCGCCGACCACGACGCACAACTACGGTGGATCCAGTGTCGTCCAAACAACAGCCATCATCTGTGACATTCGTTAACCTTCTCTCCGTTACGCGACGAAAGATTTGCGACGTCGCCGACGTCGGGCCATTTATGAGCTTTCGAAGCCGTCGTAGAAACGATTCGAAGGGAAATGCGGAAAAGTTATCCATGGGTCCGAGGCGCCCGACATCCTGGCACATATGCACTAAACAGTGCACATTAAAGACCACCTCCTTCTCACCGTACAGCTTCGCGATGTCACGCACCACCCTATTCAATACTGATTTCGCATGCGAAAGGTAATGGGAACACCACCTACGGCAGCACAGAATGTATGCGGCGACGGATAACATAACGAAATTATTGTACAGGTCTTCGGGCAACACGTCGCGCAAAACTACTGGACCCAGATATAAAAGAAACTGTCTGAATTCCGTTGCCTTCCATCGTTCCACGTCCTCAAACGTGCGACATTTGCGCGGAAACTCGAAGGTCAGGTTAGCCGAACACATGCGAAGTCGTTCATTGATGATGTCGATGGATGTTGCTGGCAATCGTATGTTTCCACGTGTTGGGCCGCAGCGCCACAGCATTATTAACTTCCGTGTTACTCCCAGACACAAGGTGTGCATGTAATCAAGTGGGAAACAACTTATCATATCAATCCGTAGGGCCTCAAAAGGTGATTCGCCGATGTGATGTTCCGGTTGTTTTCGTGTTCTAAAATCCATGTCATTACGTAATGAGCTTTGGGGATCGGTAGGGAAGGTCATTCTACCATCAACGTGCGAACCTGCAAATGTGTATCAAACTTTACGCTTTGCTTACCAGTTATTGTGCATTTCTCGCAGGCGAAATATCCAGAATGTTGTTTCACCTGCCGAACGTATGCTCGTGCAGGTGCATCGGCTATCACGCAGTCCAGAACGATATCTATAGCATCGTCATTATCATACAAGCAGACACCTTTGCGTAACACATCCTTCAATTCATCCACCACTGGCCGCAGGAACTCATGCACATTAATGGGTTTCGATAATCCACTGTAAAGACCAATTAAAAACACATCACTTGGCGGATTTATCAGCCTTCCAAGTATTGGCCACAGCTGTCTGCGCGAGCTTTTGAACACGGTCATTCCGTCTATATGGATCTGCAACTTTAGCAACGACGGACGGGGTGAATGCGTTCGGCGCAACACGTCACGTATGGCGTCCTGCAAACCCATATGGATGTAACTGCCACCTCTGATTAATCTCACTGGACACCGACGGGGTGTTTTCAAAATGCTACGAGCGTCAACCGGTAAGTTAGGATATAGACGCCGAAGATTGCGCAAAAGGATGTTAATCTGGGTCAAAGTGAAGCTTCCGTCCAGAGCCACGTCACGCAGAATTTCCTCTAAGGTAACCGATTCCGCTGGACGCAAAATGTTGGTTGGACGGGCTAAAAAATACGTTATATACAACATTTGCATACGTAGATTTAATAAAGGGGAAGCATAAGGCACATCCGATTCATATTGGGTTCACTGAGTTCATCGAGTTGTGGAGAGCAGGAGGAAAATCCCTTGTCAACCCCATCGATTCCGTATCATCCTGGGTTTGATGCGTGTCGTTGCGTTACGACGTTCCTCGAGGGTTCATCGTAATTGCAGTGACAGCCGCAAGATTCCAGCATTCTCAGCGAATGTTTGTCTAGCAGCCGCTTGAAACTTTCCTCGGATGGAGCGTCTGCAATTGCTTCCGGTAAGCTGTTCCAGTCATTCACCACTCTAGCGGGTAGGGTGACGTCCTTGCGAATTTTGTGTCTCCTCTGCTTAAACAGTTTCCACATGTGACCTCGGGTGGGAAGTCAGTGTTGGGCCGGAAGAATTGTTGTAACTCACTTCCAAGTTCCCCTCGGAGGATGCGTCTAGTGTAGATGAGATCACCGCGGCGACGGCGGAGCTCGAGGGAGAACAGATTTAGCTGCTGGAGTCGAATGGCGTACGGGAGATCACGAAGCCCCAGAACAGCTTTCGATGCACGTCTCTGGACCTTTTCCAGCATAGCGCTTTCAAACTTTGAAAGCAGATGGCTAGCTGGTAGGCCATATTCTAAGACTGGACGGACGTACGAAGTGATAATTCGAAAAATCTCGGGAGTCATTCGAGCGAATTATCTTCTTAAGGCACCTACCAGTCTCCTTCCAGTGGCCACCTTCTTCAACGTGTCCTGCGTCGTTCTAAGGTCAGAAGTCACGATAACACAGAGATCTCTCTCGTGGGTGGTAATCCTAAGGAGCAACCCACTAATGTGGTATGCAACGTAGGGTTCGGTGCCACCCATTGGAAGAACAGTGCATTTATCTCGGTTTACTGGCAGTTCCCACCTGATGGACCATTCGTGTAGCTGGTCTAGAGCCCCTTGTAATCCGTCCGCATCCTCAATGCTGGATATTTTTGACCAAAGCTTGAGGTCATCGGCGCAGATCAAGCAGTCGGTTTGGGGCGCAGTCGGTAGATCGTTAATGTACAGTTTGAAGAGCTCTGGTCCAAGCACTGATCCTTGGGGAATGCCACTAGGAATAGGCACTGGAGCAGAGAGGGTTTGGTTCACTTGTACGCGCATTGTCCTACCTCTTAAGAAGTCGGCAATCCAGGAGAGAAGATTACCTGTAATGCCAATTCCCTGGAGTTTATGTAGCAGTCGTACGTGTGGAACCTTATCAAAGGCTTTGCTGAAGTTAATGAATATTACGTCAACCTGTTTTCAGGTATCTTTGGCTTCTGCCCGTGCTTCCCTGGCGATAAGTAAGTTAGTGATGCATGAGCGTGCTCTCCGGAAGCCATGTTGAGCAGGTGAGATTAGGTTTAGATGCACACAGTGTAGCTGGAGGACGCACTTGACTATTAGTCCCGTGGTTTTGCATACGACTGATGTCAAACATATTGGACGGTAGTTGGCTGGGTCTTGTTTGTTTCCCCCCTTGTATTTGGGCAGGACGGTGCCTGCTTTCCAGCCTGTGGGTAGGCAGCCGACTTAGAGGGATTGCCGAAACACTTGGCAGAGAGGGGCGGCGACGTACTCAGCTATCGTTCTGAGGAAGCTGGGATGCAATCCATCCAGGCCTGGGGAGGAGTTCGGGTCCAGTTCGGGGGGTAGCTTAGTGATTACTTCGGGGTTAATGTCAACTTGGTCCATAGGGGAGTGGTGTACAGGTAAACAGATGTTGAGCAGTGGTGACTCCACTGAGTAGACCGAGGAATATTGCACAGAAAATAGGTTTGCTTTTTCATCATCGCCGTAGAGAACGGTACCTTCCTTAAAAGAGGAGAGAGCGGGGATTCCACTACCAGTTTTGGCATTTCGCTTCAAGTAGGCAAAAAGTTTCTTGGGACAGCTTTGGGATTCCGTTGCCAGTCTATGTTCATATTGTAGTATTTTGTCTCGTTTTCTCAGGGTGCATAAGTTTCTGACAGTTTTGTACTCTAAGTAGCTTGATGTCAGTTCTGTGCTCTTGAAATGATCCCATAGTTTTCGACGATTTTTCATTAGGGATCTTATTTCTTTATCAATCCATGGGGGTCCTTTGGATCGCGGTCTCCTCTTGCAGGTTGGTACAAACTGTTCAATGAGCCGCAGCATCATAGATCGTAAAGGTTTCCATGCGTCATCAAGCTCCAAGGATTGCGGAATACTCCAGTCCGTGTTACTTGCAGTCGTTCTTAATCTGGGCTGATCAGTACGCCAGAAATTTTGACGCAGTGTCCCCTGATCGTGGATTGTGAGGCGTCGTGTCCACGAAAAGGAGACTGTACAATGATCACGCGTCCCAAGAGGTTGGAGGATCGTTAGATCTTAGACATCAGATGGTGCCGAGGTGAGAACAAAGTCGAGAATGTTTGGTGTCTGACCAGGGACCATTCGCGTTGGTGTCAAGGCATGCTGTGTCAGGTTGCACTCGTGAACGGTATCAAGGAGATCAACTTCAAAGGAGTCAGGTGAGAGCTCACTGTGAAGTAGGTCTCAGCTTACGTTGGGGGCGTTGAAGTCCCCATAAGGAGACAATTTGTTCCTCTGCTGTTGGTTCGCACGGAACGTAATAGGTGTGAGCCAGGTGCTGCAGGGGCTCTGTAGATCACCCCGACCATCATCGATTGGTATCCGTCCTGAATCCGGCTCCAGAGCATTTCCGACATATCATCCTTGTCACAATCGCAGCAAGGTGTGATGAATGACTACACCATTAGCGGATACTGCGTCCGTAAAAGGCTCCTGCACAGCATGGCGCGAAGAATGCACATCTTGTGCGGTAGGTCCAGTACTTATCATCTCGCGTGTAGCTGAAAAGACATCCCGCGAAAAAAACCCATACCTTGTAAT